CAGCAGTTTGATTAATGATAAGAAAGGGTTCTAAGTGATTACTGTGGAATTCTCGCGCTCGATCGATTCGGTAATGGTATCCTCGGACTGAAATTTCAAGAGTTTTAGAAGACGAAAGAGTGTATACACTTCTTCGTCTCGATATCAAGAATCGATTTAAATTTTTCAGCGACGACGAGCTCCTCGCACTCGATTCATTTGGTGAATTTGTATATTCTCGAATTGAAAATGTTTTCAAGCTTCGGAATGTCCTTGTGTGAGAAAAAAAAAATTAGGGCTCATTTTGCGAAGTCCCGGGAATGATTTCAATTTTTATTTCAGTTCAGGCGTGTCAATACAGCAATTGACTTGGATCTCGGGATTCTTTGATGGGATAAATTCTCTCCGCGAAAAATGTCGTCCTTGATTCAACACCGTTCTAATTTCCGTACTGCTCCAATATTTCGGCCCAGAATATGTACACGTATTCCTTAACTCGTCTCATTAAAAGTAATATAAGCGAGAGAACAATTTTACACCTTCGAATCACTTTTCAATTGATGCTCGCGATGCGTCTGGAGTCTCTGGACTCACCAAGCTTCACCCATGAATTAAAACCATCACCAACCCGCTTCCCTGGTTTTTGTACCTGATCGATCTCCGGCCTTCGACCTTGATGACAAAATCTTCGAGGTCAGGATACTTCCCTGATGCAGGTCACAACATCTCGTCTTCCTTAACATGAATGCATCGTACTTCAACCTGGGGTTTCATCGACACGCTCCATTGTACATGGTGAACAATAAAAAGTGCATTCATGCACTTTCGTTGCGGAGTATCCGATATCAGACCGACACAGGAAACCCATAGCCTTGAGTGCCGAAGGTCGACCCCGCATGCAAGGTTAGGGTCTTCAGAAAATGACGGCCAAGGACTTATTCGCCAAGGAATCTTTCATGAGGAGATGCTTATAGATTTACAAGAGATGCTTATCGCGTTCGCATCACGGCATCAATCAACATGCAGCGGACCGAACGACTTTGTCCATGCGACGAACTACACATAATGTGAGCGTACGTACGAATGTAAGTACGAAGTGCTTTGATTTGTTTTGGCGTAAATCGCTTTTATATGAACGGAGCCACGAGAACATTTCGAGGGAACGAAAATCCAGGTACGTGAGACAATTTTTGTGGTACAGTATACAGTATTTTCTTAAATCTCGCTGTGACCTCCATTTTACCTCATAATTTACTGAACATCATCGATTTTCAATTCCCGCATTTGTCAGGGCGTTGAATAGGATGCTCGTCGATTTCTAGTCAAGTGGAACGATGAGGAGACGCCAGCCGTTCCGTCATGTTGTCATTTTTGAGGTGGGTAAGTCCCTTACAATAATTTTATGTACAGTACTGTACTACTTTTAAATTTGGAGAGGAAGGCATGAGATTGATGCATAAACATATTAGAGCAAAAAAGCTCCGAGCCGAACTGTGAAAATGTAGCTCCGATTTAAGCAAATGCGACCTACATTGGCAATACGCATGTTCAGACTGACTCACAATAAAAAGCCTGCGAACTTATTGTTCCCTTCATTAGTTTAGTATACTGTAGTGACCAAGGTAACAGTGACCACGCACAAAATCAGAGCTTCTTTTGACCCAACGTTATTCCAGCTAGAATTCGGTTCGCTTTGCTATAGTGACAATTTTGGGAGTTTAACTTCGTTTTTTTTTATCATATACTGCAGATAGAATGTGTCAACGAGATTTTTAGTGGAACAGATGAAAAATCAAGTGAAACATCAGTGAAGAAGGTTTGAGAAAAGGTGATGAATAAAATTTTTAAATCGGCAATGATTGCTGCCAAGAGTCTTTATTCAATAAAAGATTATCAAAACTTGAAAATGTGCTGCATTCAAAGTACTATATACATATACTGTACTGTATAAACAGATATAATCTCTGTTAAAATTGATCCTTGTTTGTATCAAATTCTGTTTTGAGGACCCTGCAGTTTATCCACAACTTCACTCAAGTCACAATATGAAAATTTGTTTTACAGTGACATTTTGTTTCAACGAAGGCATTGTACATGAGGGAACTGCAAAAAGCTTAATTTAAAAAATGTATGCCGTGAAGTTATTTGAATAATGATGTGGCTACAGGTATACACTCCTTCAACGATTTTGTTCACTATTATTTTTTCTGTGGAATAATAAATTATTTTTTGTCTCATGGGGGCTTTCTGCAACAGTTTTTTTTCTGTTCTGGATTCTTGAGTCAACCTAGGCTGGGGTCTGTAAAATTATTTCAATGACAATATTTTATTAATGGTTAAATTTGCTATTTGCAACAAAGAAGATTCTTGCAGGTTTTGAAAATTTTAATGATTATTGGGCTAATGTTTTTCTTGATTAAAAATGGAGAATCTGAATTTGAAACATTTTCTTTGCTGATATTATGCCCTGGTATATATTGGGCTTATGTATACATTGGATGCCCTTATAACAAAAATAATCTGTTTTTATGTGTGTTTTTGTTATAGAAAACTTTCATAATGAAATTTTCATTTTTCCTTAAGATTCCATTATGAATTATTGAATTGCTTCCTTCCATTCATCAAAACTTGATAATAAACCATTGAAAGTGTGTGATTTTGTCATAGAACAGTGAATCTAAAAATCATTAGTGTGAAATTGAGGTAATCCTGACAACTTCTTGCTCTTGACTTTTTGGATTTCATACACTTCTGGATATCAAACAATAAGCTAACTTAGCTAAGCCATTGTATTTTCTAATTTACTTCCATTTTTTAGAATTCGTTTATAGTCAAAATTCAATGAAATTTTAGCGTTTTCGACCTGAAAATGTCGTTCTGTGATACGATTCCGATATACGAGTCCTTTTTTTTATACCACTGAAAATGTCGTAATGCGTGATTTTTGTTGCACGGAATCTTTTCGTAGCACATTGGAAGCACAGCTAAAAAGGGAAAAATTCCCCTTGATATAACGTAGAAATTTAATTAGGATTTCCAACTTGATTTTCCCTTCAAGGATAACATTCAACCTCGAAATGACGGCTTATTCGGCGTACAAAGAAGGCGCGATACTCGTAGTGGTGCTCGCCATCACCTGCTTCGTGTTCATCGGCATCCTCAGAACACGGGAAACCGGGGTTTTCAGCAACTCGGAAAGAACAAAGGCTGAGGCCCGAAGAGAAGTGGAGAAAATCGAGAAGCAAATTCAGCAACGTTTGGAGGCCATGGGAAAGAAAGTAGCAGCCAGCAAAGAGCAAAGACGAGGCTTCGTCCACTTTGACCCCAACGCGAAAACTCCGCTGACGGAACAAGAGATGCAGGAATTACGGGGAGATTTGCACGACATCCTGGAAAATCCGAATCTCGGAGATGATGACGGGAGTGAAGGCGATGTTTTGGAAAAGATTTCCCCTGAAGGTGCCTGATTAAATACATACACTCGAGGTATTTTGAAAAACATCCTGTGAGATTCTTCTGGGTCAAAAGGAAATGTCACGGTGAGGAAAATGTCTGATAAGAGCTCAGAGAGAAAATTCAGTTAAACTTTTCTTCTTATGCTGGCGTGCAAGGAGAGATTTTCTATAATTCAAAGAAATCTCCAATTTTGCTGTTTACTGGCAGATAAAACTTTTTAAAGTTATCCTAGCTGAAATAGTACAGCTCAGATCTTATTACAGTACAACAAACTTCCATATGCACTCAAAGAACACGTTGTACAATAATCTCATAAAATAATATAATATTGGTGTCAAGAATTTGTATTTATTTTTTCCAAGCTCACATTAATTTATTTGAATTGTCCTGGTTTTATTTATTAGAATTATTATGATGAAAATGTTGTGATGTGGAGAATGAAAATAATTTCATGCCATGAATAAATAATTGTTCCCAATACAAATGATTAATCAGATGTTTTAATTGAAGAAATCAGGTACTTATTGAGTAAGAACATTTGTCTGATGATTAACCTCCATCAGTCAAATGCATCCCTTTGTCAATTTCTTCAAGTCCGTGTCTAAATTACCTTTTTAGAAACAAGGCATCAAAAACCTCACTAACTCAAATGCATTTCCTCTCAAACCTATGTAGCTCAAATTTTCTGAGGTCTTTTGGCGATTATTTTATTCATGCAGGGAAAGAAAAAATAAATGGATAAGAAGTAACTCCATGTGTTTTGAAAGGAAGTGAAAGACTAATTGAGCAAATGAACTCTTGCCTCAAAGTTCAGCAACTGGTCAACTTATTTATAAAGCAATTGAAGACCCAGAATATTACCACTTGCAATCTCCCACAATTCTTCTATCTTTCCTGCAATAAAAATGCATGTTTCCCTAACTCAAATTTTGTCCAGCTTGTCCCTTGAAATTTGCCTTAAATAGGTTTGACTGGATTTATTAAATTGAAAATTTGCAAGTTCTGCAAGCAACAAGTATACATTTCCATCCAATTGACACCCAAACAATAACACATGGATTTTCTCTTCAAAAAACTCCTACATAGTTTAAAAAAAACAATCCTTGACATGCATAGATGCAGCATATCACAGAGGAGTATTCCGAGCAGCGTGTAAAAGCTTCAGGGCGTATTGAGTGCCAGTGCTTAACCGACCCCCACCTGATGAGTCATTCGATACTCTCTGTCTCGTGAACTCGACAAAATTTTCAATCACGTCTCGCCTCTGGCAACCATTTGAATCGACTACAGTGAGCTGAACTTCATGACCGTCGGGTAACGGTTTATTTTCCGCCACAGCTTCCACGACCTCAGGACTCAGCCAAGCACAGGCACCGACTTCAACTGAGTCAAGCTGAACAAATTCGAGACACAAAAAACATCAGCCTGAGAAGTAACTTCGTAATATTCTACAGTTTATTTGCTGTGTAGAGGCCTGTGTATAGAAGGATTATCTTGATTACTGTACTTATTCCAGTACCACTGCACCTTTTCCCTCAAAAATGGGGCACACATCATACTTGCTGAGTACTGTTACATTTTTCTGGACTCTCTCTACAATGATCTTGTGTACAACAACATTCTAGGTATAAATTGATTTTTATTACCATAAGTTATCTCATATTATGGGGTTCTCTACATCAAAATTCTCTTTACAATGCATTTTTTCTGGTCCCTTGAGTTTTGTTGCATTGAGAGTCCACCTGTATACAAGGGCTGTCCCAGTTGGACACAACCTCTGATTTTTTCAAGTACTTTGGTGTGATTGTAAAAGATCATGCCATAGCCAATGATGTTCTAAGGTGTTGGATTTTGTTAAATTCAAAAAGGTTTCATCAATTTGCATGATAAGTGGGCTTCTTAGTTACAGCCAGAGTTCTCCACACATGTTACAGGGTACTGAAATTTTTCAGGCCAGCCAAATGTGGAATTTCTTTGTTAGTTTACCAATTATCCTTTATACATTTTAGATAATGGTTAGAATAAAAAAAATTATATGTTCAGCTTGAAAATTATTCAGCATCCTGTGAAATGGGTATAGCTGTAAAGTTCTCACTCATCACCATGCATTAAATTGAAACCCTTTTCTTGAAATAAAAAAATCCCAGAATCTTAGAACATCATGGACTGTCAGGATTCTTTTTCTACAATCACGCCTCCCCTAATAATATCAGAGGTCGCCTGCAACAGGGACAACCCTTTTATATCAGAAATTCTTGGGTCCCTCTGGACACTACTTCATAAATATGACATGTTATTCAACAAGACTTCAACTCAACTTAATCTTAATTCATACAACAACAAGTCAAGCACTAAAGTGCAAAAAACTTTAATGCTACACACATAATGCAAAAAAAAGAGAAGAGAAACGCATGGTTTTCAGTTACCTGGACGAGATCATTCATGGCCTCAGACGTAATTGGACAACGGCAGTGCAAATAAATGACCACGTGATGCCTGACGGGAAGACCTAGTGGCAATTCATACGGGAAAACTGATTCCCAAAGCCCCAGTACTTCACACGAATCCCACGGCGGCAATTTCGAGTTTTTAAAGCCCACGTTGAGTCCCGTTTCTTCCATTAGCTCCCGCATTCCAGCTTGTATCAAAGTTTCGCCCTGCTCTGAAAGAGAGTCGACGAATCAAGTGAGAGGAAAGAAGAAAAGAATGAAATTTGATTTCGCAACAATTTTCTGGAAATCTTAGAGAAGTGTCCATACTTCGAGACTTTGTCCACATGTCAATGCAACTTTTTGTGTGTGTGTTTACAGTGTCCTTATAAGTAGAATCGTCCGGATGTCGGTGCCCCGAATGCAGTTTTATTGCCAGATGCACTACTGTATTTTTGTTTCTCAAAGCTCACCAATGTGACCACCAGGTGGAACCCAGGTGTTGGGAAAAGTTCTCATGGTAGCTGATCGTCTGGTCAACAGAATTTTCCGATCCGAGGATTCCAGAATCACCACAACACCAACGTCCACACCACGATCGACGATTTCTTCCGGAATACGCAATTTTTCTTCAGGGGAAATGCAGCTCACTGGACAAAATGGCGGATGCTGCAGAATTTTGAGAACTACAGTAAATTGAAGATTCCATGATTTTTTCTTTACTAGGAAAGCGACAAACGCTGCAAAATTCAGGCAATTGTCTCCCTTGAATGCCTATCCTAGTTGACTTTATCATAAAAATTCTACATCCCGATTTTTATCAGAGAAAAACAAGTACTGTACCATATATACAGAAAAAATGAGTCCTATAAATACAAAATACAAACACAAATATTGATGTACAATACTGTAAACACTTGATCAAAAAACTGAAATGAAAGCAAACAAGTGGCCCATTTTGGAAAATCAATTTGATCAAATTTATGAGATGCATCCTGAATTTATGTCCATAACAATAGCTCAACTTGTTCAAGAGATATCCAAAGTCTTGGACATTTTTTTCAATAATTTTTCTTGAAATCTTGGCAAAGCGTTACTCACTTTGCACTTCTTGGCACTCAATACCATGCACAAATGTTTCCTTAGAAAAAGCTCAGAAGTAGAGTATACAATACATTTTTTCAAATAATTTTGAAAACCTTGGTACATGATCTACTTCAAACACATTGATCAAAGTTTAAATAAATAATTTTCCAGAGACTTTAATAAGTGAAAATATTTATTTAGGCTCAAATGAAACTGGTAATGAAAATGTAAAACACAAATCATGCAGCACAATGGAATTTAAATTTCATCAGTCTAAAATTGGAATTTCATTTATTTCCGAAAATTAATCAATTTTTGTGTCACAGAAAACTTGGTTGCGAATCTTATAGGCTGAGATTATTTTTCTCCAAAATCAAGATGCATGTATTACTACTCTTACATAAGGGCATGCAGTACTTGAGCAAATATGGTACCTCTTACACACTAGGAAACATGGTACACTTGAACCTCCTTAAGTTAAATTTACCTGAGTTCCATCAGAATTCTCTAGTAATTAATGCATTAAAAACCTATCTGACTCAAAGGCTTTTCCTTTCGAACTTCCAAAGCTCAAAATTTTGAGGGCCATTTTTGGCTATTACTGTATTTTCTTGACACAGGGAAAAGAAAAGCAAGAAAAAAGTAACAATGTGTTTCAAAAGGAAGTGAAAGACTAATTGGGCAAATGAACACTGTCTCCAAGTTCATCATCCCATCAACTGATTTAAGAAGCAATTTACATGCCAGAATATCACCCTATACTATTTCCTTCAACTCTTCTGTTTCCCACAACAAAAATGAACGTTTCCCTAACTCAAAACCTTCCAGAGAAGATAAATTGATCAACAACAAAAAACTGGGCGAGAAGTACGCTAACGTACCGTCAGCTTGACTGCAGTGGCTCGATTCGCCCAGACACTCAACATACCGGGTTCATGGATCACACCCGGTAGTGAGGGCTTGAGTTTCAAANGAATGACGTCTTTCAGAAAGAGGAATCTGACCATTCCCCCCAACTTCACTCATAAAACTGCCCAGTGTCCTTCTCAGAACCATTCAAATATATCTCCAGCGTCTTCAAATAATTCGATAAAAACCCCCAAAAAACAAAAGCCAACAATCAAACAGGTTTCGCTTATCACGTCATCGGTAATCAAGATATCGCAGCCAGGATTTTCGCACGGCTATCAGTGTTCTGGAACAGCGCTCGAACCAGGAATTTCACTTCCTGGGCGGCAAAAGCCCTCGCCAAGGGCCCCCTTCCCGCGTCCCACCGCGTTTTAATTTCCGGCAGATGAGCGTCCAAGACGAACACGAATTCTTCCAGAGCGTGCAAACGGGTCACAACATCGTGCACATTGTCTACTGTCCTCTCAGCCGTGGAGAACAATGCGGGTAAACGTGCAATGAACGTGGATCGGAGGAGAGAAGAGTAATTGTTGGCGGCTTCCGAAGCGATGTCTTCACAAGTCAGGGCTTGACGCAGGATCTCTTCCACAGCTGTGTCCGAAAGGAAGCCGAGAGCAGCGACGTACGTTTTCCATGGCAGGCAATTACTCCACACCGCATGTATGCCTTTCATCTGAAATCCAAAGAAAAACGGGGAATTTGAATTATTCAGAGATAACATTTTCACCCAACGCATTTCAAGCGAAAAAAATCACTGTATTTAACAGTTTTCGATATTCATGCAATTTTTGATTTAGTCCAACTCATTACCCTGAGTTCTGAGAAAAATCACGCATTAGAACAAATGTTAAAATTGAAGAATTGATGGATTTATGGTATATTTTCTGAATACCCAGGCGTTTAAGTTATAAAACTGTAATCGAAACCATGGTAGGATTGTTGGAACAGAAACTCAATAAATTTTCAGAATACATAAATTAATTTCAGTTTTGACTCGGACAATTTCTCAACAACAATTGCGCATTTAGGGCAACCTTCAAATGCAGCAACTCGAGGCAAACATTTGAAAAGAAGAATTTTCCACAGTACAGTACAAGTCCAATAAAAAAAAACGCAAACCGAAAGATGAGATAATTTACTTCTTGGGAAAATTATCTATATATAAATTACGAAACCCGGGGTTATTTTGATTGTTTTCTAGAAGAATATGAATTTTATTTCCCATTATTCTGAATTTTCATAAAATCCACCAACCCCCTTTAAACTACCACAAACCTCACAAACAAATGATGGCGGCTTATGAAGGTTTGCCTGTAAAGTACTGGCATTTAGACCGCCTGCTTTTTAAAAAATGGTAAGCAAAAAAATACCACAATGTTAAGATGAATTTTCAGCGTTCTGCCGTTTTTCTATCTCAACCTGGGTGAGGAAAAATTGCAACAGTGGTGAGCTAATCATCTAGTATTGTATTGTACATTACCATGTACTGTTCAACAGACTGAGTTCAAAGAATTGGGCTAGTCCATGTTATTTTGCGGTCAGGTTCATAAATGTAATCCATATCTGTCCCAGATTTCGAAGAAAAAAAGGTCAGGCAACGGGGCAAAAAACTCGAGCA